CGGAGAATCCTCGGGGCTCCGGAGGAGTTCTCACCTACATCGTCCATATAGGACGACTCGGGAACTCAACTCCTACCCCGGGCAGCTCACCTATCCCCTTATGCCCAGGGGAAAGGTATCAGGCCGTTTGACAGCTGGTACTGGCTGTCAAAACGGCTTTTACGCGAAACAGGCGGGAGGCAGCAAACAGCTGCGACCAACGAAGTCGCCTGCCACCGGAAGTCAATAAATTCTTGTTTATAATACAGACAACCATTTGCCATTTTTTGCATTGTTGAGCTTAAATTTGTGGTGAGCTCTCAAATGAAAAAAGTAGTTCCAATTTTGTGCCAGAGTAGAATATAATCCTTTCCTTGTTACATGAATCTGCTAATATTTTCCTTTATTCAGTTATTTATTCCCTTAATAAAAAATGTTATAGAAGAAAAATGTATACTGTACTTGCAAGGCTAATGAAATGAGAGAAACAGCACACTCAAATCAGAATGCCACAGGCAGAGCAAGCTGGATATGTAGACTGTTTCTTACTCTCCCTTGAATTTGCATATATGTATAATGCCAGTGTCTGCAGAAGGCAATAGCTTCCTGCTGAAACATTTACATGCTTTATTGTACCTAATTATATTTATGATAATTCACAGTTGCAAGACAATTTGCTGTTAGTTCGCCTTTTCTTAAATATAAGAAATAAATATCAAAATTAAATTAGTGATATAAATTTATTTATGGTATTTAGCAGCTCCAAGAAAAAGTTAATGAAATGGATTTTGAACTGAAATCTGTCCAGCATACATCCAAGAAACAGGATCACATAACCCAGAAACTGAAAGAGACGTTGAAGAGCAAGGAAAATGAGGTTTGTAATTCTTTGAAGAATAAATACTGATATAGATCTAATGACTGAAATATAATTAGGATAAGGTAGGGCAGAGCAGAGCAGAGCTGGAAGGGACCTTGGAGGTTTTTTAGTCCAACTTCCTGCTCAAGCAGGAGACTGAACAGGTGGCTGTTCAGTCTTTTCTTAAGAACCTCCAGTGATGAAGCACCCATTACTTCTGAAGGCAAGCTGTTCCACTGGTTAATCGTTCTGTTAGGAAGTTTCTCCTTAATTTCAGGTTGCTTCTCTCCTTGATTAGTTTCCATCCATTGTTAGTTTCTATCCATTGTCTTGCCTTCTGGTGCTTTGGAAAATAAGTTGACCCCCTTTTCTTTGTGGCAGCCCCTCAAATAAATGCTTTCTTCTCAGCTTTCAATATTATTTGCAAATAATAACAATCAAGAATTTGATTCATATCACTTCCAATAAATATGTAGTCAACTATCAAGATATAGTAAAACTGAAAATACTCTTTGTGAATTTAGAATTGTCATTGTTTCCTGTAGTGTGAAGAACTAAATCATATAATTCATAACCAGAATGAGAAAATAGCCAAACTGCAAGATGTGCTACATAAGAATCAGCTTGGGCAATTACAGGTATGGCTTTTACTTGAATTTTTTTTTACAAATTATCATTTTTGTTTATATCTCTCCAAAAATTGAAATTTACAGTATTTTTTTTGAGTTTTACAAGTTGATTAACCTAATGTATGCTAAAAATATAATGTACACTAAAAAAAAATCCCCGTTAAATCCAAAAAGAGCAATATGCCAGCTAAAACATTTCCAGTATTAACACAGATGATACAGTTACATATATGATACATATTATAAGATGCAAAGATATTACTTTTTCTAAGGAAAAGTTTAAATAATTAAGAACTTTGGAAACTAATTCTTTACCTGCTTATAGCCAATAATTAAGATGAGCAGGTAGAACAATACAGTAGTGATCTGCTGTCTGCAGTTTAAAGTCTGCAGTAGAAAGAAATTGACAGATTTGCTAGTTTAAAAATACTTCAGGATTTTAGAATGTTGAATTGTGTGTTAAAATATATGAAGACAATTGCTAAGAAGATGTTGTAAGCCACCCAGAGTCACCTATGTATGAGCTGGGAAGCTAAAAAGTATAAACAAACAAACAAACAGGGTTCCTACTTCAGGACCTAATTCATCAGTGTAAGGCTCTGAAGCATAAATGGGTTTCATCTTATGAGGGTAGGGAGAAATGTGTTTGGCTAGAACCTTGCAAATCTTAGCAGGATGGTTTTTAAAGAAGAGTACAGGAGAAAAGGCAAAGTGCCCAGGAATATAGCTGCATATATCCTCATAGAGGAGTCACGAGCCAGGAAATACTAACTATAAATCTCCATTTTCCAGTGATAGAGAGATGACCCAGCAATGACATCTGTAGGTTCCAATGTTTACACAATAGTGCTCAGAGAATGAAATAGAATCCTAACATGGGAAAGCAACAATGGTCACATAAATATTAAAAATTGCAGTGACAGGAGAATCATGATTAGAAGGTGGAAATCAGAGAATATTAATTATTCAAAGAAATAGACCCAATATTATCACAGTACAGGTTTCTCAACTTGCAACCATTCATTTTATAGCCATTCAAAGTTATGACAGCACTGAAAAATATTACGGTACTTATGACTGGGCCTCCCACTTACGACTATTGAACCATCCCTCTGATTATGAGCAAAAAGCATCCCTCTGATTGTGAGCAAAATTTGGGTGCTTGGTAACAAGCATAAATTTATGATGGTTGCAGATCCCAGATTCACATGGGGACTTCTGATAAATCAGTGTGAGCAATTTGCTTAATGACTAGAGCAGCAAAAATCGTAAAATTAGGCATGACTCACTTAAGAATCGCATCGCTTAGCACAGTGGTTCTCAACCTTTCTAATGCCGCGACCCCTTAATACAGTTCCTCATGTTGTGGTGACCCCCAACCATAAAATTATTTTCGTTGCTACTTCATAACTGTAATTTTGCTACTGTTATGAATCGTAATGTAAATATCTGATATGCAGGGTGTATTTTCATTGTTACGAATTGAACATAATTAAAGGATAGTGATTAATCACAAAAACAATATAATAATGCTCGCTGGAGAAGCTTACTCTTCCTTGCTCAAAAATGTTGGGAAGGAGGGAAGGGGAAGGAAGGAAGGAAGATTGAAGGGGAAAGGAAGGAGATGGAGAAGGAAGGAGATTGAAGGGGGAAGGAAGGAAGGAAGGAAGGAAGGAAGGAAGGA